GACCTGTTTTTTCAACAATGCCTTTACCTGACCAGACGGCATTCCGTCGAACTCTCGACTATGTAACACCTCTGTCCAAAATGCGTACACGTCACATTCACACACATGCTTTAACCCGTCATTTTGCTAGGACTGGTGTTTACAAATGCTCATTTTTTTCCCAGGACAGTGTCGAAGTAGAACTCTAGGCATAAAATGAATGACCTTTTTAAGTTACCACAATACCCGCGTTAGGTGTTGTAATTTGATTTTGTATGTCGAAGTGGAATTCTGGGCATATAAATAATGACCCTTTTTAAGTTACCACCATACACACGTTAGGTGGTGTTTTTTTATTTTGTATGTTTTACTTCATTTCTCTTACTTCTGTTGTAATTACAGTACTGCATTTTTTATTGTACGCAGTCTGAGTGCTTTTATTAAGTTGAAAGTGAAAATTTGCACATTCCTTGTACTCACTGTATTGATATTTTGGTATTGCATTTCTTTTTTGAGTGTACTATAAGCGCCCTTCCCACACGGACCAAATTCTGGTCCGCAGTATGTTATAAATAAAAAAGTCGAGTCCATTGGATCGGCACCCGAGCGCCGTAATCACCGACAGCAAGTCTGTAGAGAAAAAAAAAGAGGCTTTCGAGACATTCGAACACACTGGCCACGCGTGAGCAGCAAGATTAGTCGCTCAAGCAATACGTCTATTGACCACGCCAGCCACGCAGGAGGTAAAATGGGTATTATCAAGATAAAAGTGTACATGGCGCGAATCTAAGACGTGACTGTGTTGTAGAAAACTGGATTTTGGAACATAATTTTGTCACGCAGACGCTTGATTGCATGCTCAAATGAAAGCTTCGTCTTAGTACTACTTATATGTACGAGGAATTTGCAGGCTTCCGTCTAGATTTTCCAGACGGCCTGTTTTTATCCCGAAAAACAATGTGAGATTTTGGTAACTTCTATAGTCACAAGTTTTTTAAATTTATTAGTTGGGGAAAAAGAACGTAAAGCCCCGAAGTTAACTATGCTGCATTTGTGAAGTGCAGTACAGCTCCTAGAATGTGTCCTTTGAAGAAGTTCTTAAACAATATAAGCCAAAGTATTCGATGCAATATCAACCGAAATTGTCTCGGAAACCATGGATAACAAAAACTATTAAAAATTGAGAAATGAGAAATGTTGTATGCCGATTTTACAAAAACTCGTGATCTTGCTGACCTTAAGCAATTGAATGTGTATAGGAATAGACCAAAGAAGTAAATAAGAAAAGCTATAAATAAATTTTCTTTTCAATTCTTTGATTTTGGGAAGGAACGCCAAAAAAATTGAAGGAACCTCAATGGAGCGTGCTCAGACTGCAGAATTGATTAAAAAAAATTGGCGTAGGTGGCCAATTAGTATCCAGTACTGATATGGTAAACGCGTTTAATGAGTACTTTGTTAACATGGAGATGCAAACACAAGCGCACACAAACCCTGGATCCAACCCATATTCGTGTTCTATCCCGAATACAATATTTTTTCGCCCAACTATTGATGATGAGATCTGCGCAGTATTTATGGCAATGAAAACTTTGAGAGGTTCAATTAAAATGTCCTACAGATCTATCCAATTTATACATGTTTTCTCAGTGTAGCACCTGTTCGAGTGCACATCTATAACAGAGAAATCACTACAGGTATCTTTCCGTCAAAAACTAAGCCAGCCAAAGTCTTGCCACTATATAAAAATGTCGACAAGCTGAACAATCTAAATTACCGCCTTGTATCTACATTGCCCCATTTTTCAAAAGGTCTCGAAAAAGTGATTTCAGCTGAAATGTCATCATTTTGTAAAAAGCATCATATGATCATGGAACCTCAGTATGGATTTAAAAAAACTAAGTCCACGCAATTACAACTTTTAGATCAGAAAGATTACTTACTCAGCAACATCGAAAAGAAGCTGTTGACAATAGGTATACTTGTCGATTATACTCAGGCCTTTGATCATATGAATCTTAATATATTACTAGGAAAGCTCGAGACCTATAGAATCAGGGGCACTCCATTACAGTTTAAAAGGTCATATTTATCTGAATGAAGGCAATATGTACAGATAAATCAGTTTAAATCATCGTCTGAGAACATAAAACCAGTTGTTCCTCAAGGTAGTATGCTGAGTACCCTGCTCTTTAATTTATATATAAATGACGTAGGCTTGATACACAATGATGCTAAGTTTATAATATATGCAGATGACACTAGCATTTTCGTTACATCTTTATGTTACACCACGCTCATAACAGAGCCAATGAGTTTCTCCGGAAGATGTCAACATGGTCAAAGAGAAATCACGTGAATATAAACTGCGATAAAACTAAAAGGGGAATTTTCCACGCCAAAAGAACAATCTTTCCAAACAATCTTACCTTGGTATTCAGCAACAAAAAAGATAGGTAATGAAAGTAAACTATCAGGAACGTATTTTTGAAGCACATTACCTTGGGAACAACACGTTCACTTTGTTGTGAAAAAACTTAGCCGTATCACAGGCGTGCCTAATAGTAACAAATATCGTCTACCAACATCCGTACAACTACTATTCTATCACTCGCTATTTGTAAGACACATCAATTACACTCATTTCGTATGGAATACTACCACTGATTCAAACCGTGGGAAAATACACTTATTAAAAGAGAAAATAATACCTGTATTAGCAAATGTAACATACTAACGTTTCACTGAGGGCCTCTTTAGGCAGTACAGCAACCCCACTATAATTTCCTTCCACGACCGTTTCCTACTTTGTGTAGAGCTCTAAAATATCAATTCAGAAAAAGCGTAGGTGAAAAATAGTCTGATTACAGAAAAACAAAGCTGCCTATACCCCCCGTCACAGTGAAGTATGGTCTATCATTCAGTTGCGAACCGATTGTGGCATGCAAATGTTAAAACAAAAATACCCGAATTGCTTATATCATTCCTAAATGGTGGCTATATTACAATAAACATCCCCCGGTGTCAATTAGCATCACCTATTTACTCTTTTAGTGCTTTTTTTCATTGTTTTATTAAAATATCACTGCCTTTGCGAAAACGTGCTGGAGCATTTTAAAGTTGCATTGTAAGAAAGATTGCGTTCTCTCGCTCACTTACGTTTATGGTCAGCACACTATATTGTTTTTTTGTTTTTTAATTTAGTTTTGTCTCTTTTTTTGATTGTTAATTATTGTTCATGTCATCCTGAATGTGAGCACGTCTTTTCCATCTCCGCCAACTGCTGCCACCGTACAGAACGGAGGCCAAGAGCTCCTCAAGCTGCCCAGAGTCGCTTTTTTCTGTGCCCATGCCATGTTATAAGATTTTTACAGTGAAAGAAAACGAATGAATGAATGAATGATTGAATGAGTATCCGCTTCTGTGATTATTATTTTCCGAAAAATCACTCTGTTCTATTGAAAACGTCAGATCTTCCAGCCATGGCCGCTATGAGCACTGATCATTCAGTGTCCCTAGAGTTGCTGTATTTGCTACCTTTAGGTAGCAGAGTGATGACAAGCTACGCCATCTTGAGCTCAATTGCTTTGCAAGAAAGACACTCGCCACCCGCGCAGGAGCAGCGCTTGCGCGTGAGCGTATTAGCGTCGCTTCAATTACTTTTTTGCTTTCTGTAAATTTTTTACGAAAGTATGAGCAAGACTCGGTTTCTCCGGTCATTCCTACAAGGCTTGATTTGATCCTTACGTTCTTTGTATGTACTATTCAAACAATTTTCGTCGAGTCTACTGACATATATCTGAATAGTCAATCACACATAAACTTCGTCTTTTTTCTACTGTTTTTCCCATTTACAGATCTGAAATTGTTTTGTACTTTCGATCTCAATTCAGCCCGTTAGGAATGAAAGTTTTTCGTCGCCTTGGAAGCCTGTGTGAGGAAGCCAGCTATAGTTTTGTAGTCTTCGGTTGAAACGAGCTTGATAGCAATCGAGAGTGCCCTCGCGACGGTCATGTTACGCGTGCTTCTCGTATCACGCTCGCGTTACGATCACTGCTCATGACAGCTGATCTTATTTTTAGGTAAATAGCTCTGTCATGTAGAATATTCCTTTCGCCCAAGGTTTGAAAGCTGCACCAAAGTCACGCGCTAGCTGCAACGCCTTGTCGATTCAAAAAGTTATAGTTTAACTTCTCCCTTTATTTTAGCGTTTAGCCCATCAGACAAATTCGGACGTATACGCAGCTGACACACGCTGCCTAACTCCGCATGTATAACGTGTTAACTGCATCTGTGGGCAATACAAATAGACCATTTTTGCAGTGTTGTGGGCAGATAAAACGAAGCTAAGTGTTTACACCTTCCTCACGGAACACAAATTTGTTTGTAGCAACACCCGCTGCATCAACGTCTAATCACATGGGCTGTACGTAGTGGAATTCAACACACGGTGCACTTGCTACATTTCTCGCGACTAACAGACAACATGGTTTTAGTACCAAAAAAGCGCGGTGAGGATAACAACAGTCGGTGACAACCACGCTGAATCAGCCAAGAATCGGCGAAGCATCGGCATCGTCTCAGTAGTATTGGCTTCGCAACGCAAATGAACCACCTATGACAACGTGAAAGTGTTCGATCATTAGGGCGCTGAACTCCCGCAGGCAGTAAGAGTGGCGTCCGGAAAACAGTGGCGCAACTACGCTGTCTTAAGGCTGGTGCACACCGGCGACTAGCCGTGGTCGCGCGACCATTTGCGACTGGTCGCAAGCAGTCGCGAACGGTCGCAAACGGTCGCAAAGCGACTGTTTTGGCCAGTCGCTTCCTGACCGATTTTTTGGTCGCGCGACTGCAGTCGCAAAACAGTTGAACCAATCAGCGAAGACCAGAAGTGACGTCAGCCTTTGTTTACATCCTGCCACTTCGTATGTTATTTTTTTTCTCGTTGCGCTTGCCTACTGCCGTGAGGTACGAACGCCACGTACGTTCCTCCGTGGATTTTTTCTCGCATCAGGCGAATGCCACCACGGCCAGCTTTAAGTGCTCGGCCGAGCTCCTCATCGACGCGATTAAAATGTACCCATATCTGTATGACAAGCGGCACCCTTCTTTTAAAGATCGGACAAAGAAGGACCGGGCTTGGGCAGAGATCGGAAGCATGTTCGGCATGTCGAGTAAGTACCGAGATTTTTTGTTTCAGTAGCTATATAAGCAAGAACAGGTGTGTACTGCATGGCTGGCGTCTCCAATGAATGAACAATGAAAATATTGGTATTTGTACTGCAAGGTTTTAGTTTGCATGAGATGTATTGAATGTGATGTATGCGAGCGCAGTTGTGTGCACGTTTGTTCTCGCGACTTTCCGAGTTTAACATCGAAATCGACATGACAGAACATTGTATAGCTGATAACCCAGTCAAAAATATTCAATGGGTCCAACTGGAAAATTTCCATTTAAAATCAATGGGTGTTGGACCAGTAGGATTTTCGCCACCCATTGAACATTATCCCGTTCGAATCAATGGGTAAACCCTTATATTCTAAAGGGGGATCCAAGTGGCTCACCACTTCAATGCAACTGGTTCAACAGGGGACCCCATTGGCTACCAGTTAAGTGTGGCTGGTGCTGAGCAATTGCCAGTTAGTTGCAATGGTGCGCACCATTTGAAATTGGTTGGTGACAAACTGGTAGCCCCTTTGGCCTCACATGGCCAGCCCATGAAAACGAAATGGTACGCTGGTGGTTGTCCAATTGGTGTGAATTGGCTAACCCGTTGAATCTAACTGGTGGTCAATTAAATATCCCGTTGATTTCAAATGGTCAACCCATTAAGACTAAATGGTACGCAGGTGGTTGTCCACCTGGTGTGAATTGGCTGACCTGTTGAAGCTAACTGGTGGTCAATTGGAAACCCCATTGACCTCAAATGGTCAACCCATTAATACTAAATGGTATGCAGGTGGTTGTCCACCTGGTGTGAATTGGCTGACCTGTTGAAGCTAACTGGTGGTCAATAGGAAACCCCATTGACCTAAAATGGTCAACCCATTTATACTAAATGGTATACTGGTGGTTGTCCACTTGGTGTGAATAGGCTGACCTGTTGAAGCCAACTGGTGGTGAATAGAAACCCGTTGACCTGAAATGGTCAACCCATTGAAAATTAATGGTAGGCACGTGGTTGCCCGGCAGGTCTCAGTAGACTAACCCGTTGAAGCTAACTGGTAATCCTGTGGTTCCAGATGTTTGGCCCACTGATCGTAACTGGCATTCCAAACAGCCCCCAATTCATTCTAGTTGGTAAGCAAATTCAATGTGGCTGGTAACCACATGACTTCCCACATTGTTGCAAATGGTCAGCACTTTGATGGTAATTGAGACTCCAATGATTCCATATGTTTCAATAAAAGGTTGAGTTGGGCTAGTTGATACATACTTGGATACATGCAGCGCGAACTTAGACAAAGAACACAGACAAGCGCTCGTCTGCGTTGTGACTCTCTGGTCTTCGACCAAGCTGCACTGCATGTATCCAGATGATTGGCCCAGTGACAAAAGCTGGTGTTTAGCCAGTCACCATTCTACCTGGTAAGCCAATTTAATATGGCTGGCCATTAGTTTCTGGTAAGCACTTGGTTGACGCTAAATTGCTAACTGCATTTCAGCCAGCCAGTGGTTGGTATACAGAGAGAGCCAACTGAAGCTAAGTAGTAGTGTAGTAATTGCAGTCTCTTGGCTGACCTATAAACATGATTATCACATTTCTGCGGATGCAAGTAGAAAATGACAATCCTGTAGAAGGCTGGCTGTCATCACACTGCACTTCATTAATTGCAATTTCACAACACAGTGGAAACAGCACAGGCTGGATTACCTAGTGTGAATGTGACATTAATGCACACTCAAATGCATGCACATACAAGATAAAAACAATGGTAGAGAAAAAAAAATATGAAAGAATGAAAATTTATTCACACATTCCATAATATTTACACTATTTAGAAAATGCACCAATGGTCCTCCTCTGTTAAACTTCCGCAACGCCCTGGTTGTCCTTCGCCCTGCAAATGTTTTGCAGAATTTATACATTTAGTCAGCCACACAATGGCTTACATTCTTCCAAGTCTAGATGTGATTTAACATAAAAACATTAACATAAAAATAGCTATGCATGTTGAAGGGGTACAACAGCTGTGCCAATTACGCGAATTTGATACAATTCCCCGCTTTTGCGCCGAGCTGCCAAAACCATATTGCGCCACGCTGCGCCAAAATGCCAGACGAGCCTCCAAATTTTCTCAGTCTCTTTCTGTACATGCATGTTGCAAGCAGATGAATATGGCCAAGTTTCTCTTAAAAAAGGGGGGGGGGGGAGTCCTTTGACACAAAGAACACACTTATCTTACCGCTTGGCAAGCTTCTCAATATCTGAAAGCTTCTCAACAATGAAGTGGTTCATCTGTTTGACTGCCAACGGCAGTACTCCTGCAGGCACGCCTTGATGCTCCAGACGTGCTCTGTAGCAGTCTGAAACAACAAAAATTATCAATAAATAGCCTTGAAGAAACCAGCTGCTTAAAGAACTAATAGCATCGATATTACTTTAAGAACACAAAAGTTCAAAATTGAACTTTTAGTCATATTTCTTGATGCAATGAAGTGTTATATGCTGAATGGCCTAGAATATGCCTTAGCAGCACAGGCTTGAACAATACAGAAAGCATTCTCCAGTTAGCAAAAGTGTTCCGTTCCAGCATTTATTAGAAAAAGGAAACTGCGAACTTAGCGTGCACATGCACAAAAATAATCTAAAAAGTAACATTTCACAGCTCTCCACTCGCACCATGTAACTGTGTGGATTTATATAGTGCAGGAAGAAAGCAGAGAACACTATTTCTTTTTTTGTCATTTTTTATGAAAGAGATATAAGTTATGATGAAAAAAATGCTGGCAGTCTACACACTAGCTCTATTGTTGGCTTTTCTTTTTTTCGACTATCTTTTTGAACTACCAGTGCATTTAAGAGACTTAAGACTTTCACCTGCCTGCACTCCTGACTAAAACAAATGAATTTAATAGTAAGTAAGAGGCAAGGTGTTGGGTCACATTTTTACAACTACATAGTTTATGTAAAATTGTGTTCATAACTGAAGTCAAAGCAGACAGTAAAGTTTGTAGTGGCTTCAAAATAGACTCAATTGCAACCGAGCTTTGCTGTGATTTCATGTACTAAGAATAAGATTGGTTCAATATGCATTCCAAGAGACTGTCTGCACACTTACCACGCATTACGTCCAACTTCCACGGTGTTAGGGGAGCCTTGCGTGGACGGTTAGGGTACCGTGGACAATGTTTTCCTGCATAACAGATATCCACAACAACGAATTCCCCCGTTACCAACTGACACACACTATGCTTTTGTATTATAACCAACCATGCAGGGAGCGCTCCTTAAGGTTGTCTTTCGACCAGATGGTGACTAGCAGGTCCTTGACAAATAAGGAATCCTTATGATGGGACTGCACATGTTCCCATGCACCTTTCTTGACCATAAGCCCTCGTCCAATGTCCACCTGCACGGAACATATGCATTCTGAAGGCATCCATGTGCAGTGCAACCTGTATTGCATATCATAAACAACAAAGGTCTATTCATTTCACCAGCACTTTGTCAGCCAGTTTTGTGGTGCTGCACTCTAGCATTCTTTCTATGAACTGCACATGGTGGTGTCAGCACCACAGTATTCATTGAGAGAAAGTGCAGCCTTTGTGCAAGACCAGTTTACAAAGTGCCTGCACCTTCTCAGTGAGGTTGTGCTGAATCCGCGCAGCACGAGATGGCTAAAACAGCAGCAGACAAGGCCAAGTGTATTCCTTAATATTTCTGTCCAACAAGTACGTTAGTGAAGTTGTTTTAGTAAGTTGTGTTGCTGACAACGAAATTCATTTTTTTTGGTTGTTCATAAGTTCTGCTTAAAATTTACACATATCTATAATGATCACTGAACTCTTTTTGGAATGTCTTGCTCAGCTGTGCAGAGACAAACTTCTATGACAAGTAATCTATAATGCTCAATCTTGCTTTATATTATTTTAACATGCTTTCAAAAGAACAGTTGTTTGTAATTTGAACAGCTGCACATTATTGACATTCCAGATAGAATACCATTGTTTCACTGTCATTCGGTTGCGGATTGGATGAACCTGGGCGAAGGGCTCGCTCTGTCAAGGTGTCTTGTAGATCCTCAGACACGGAGGGGCTCGACTGGCTGCCATCCATGATCCTTTTCATAATTCTGCAGCCTGCATTTATACATGAGGTGCCGTGCTGTTTGCATTGCCCAGAGAGGAAAAAGAGCTGACAAAATATTTTCATTAAATTTCAACAAACAGCTGTAAACAATAGCCATTTGCAGTCTAAACTCGAAATATCTTCACTTAAAGACTGCCGAACGTTTTATGGTAACAAGCTGTACACACTGCTGAATGTCAGAAGAATGGCATTAATGCTTTCACAGCACAAAATCAGTACAATGAAGACATTTTCTGCTTCATACCTTTCATGTCTTCCAGTGCAGAAATAACCTTGTCCTGAAGCTCCATGTTCAGTCTTCTGAGTTGAGCCATCTCCCTGTCTTTTTCTTCATTTTGTTTTCGCAGTTGGCGAATGATGGTAGATTTTTTCTCTACCTGCTCTTCAAGGTTATCAATGGTTTCATGAGCCCCCTGAAGGCGCCCACTGTCCATTGCTTCTTTGTGGTGCTTTTTAGAATGTGGCCCATCTTGATTTTTCGCCTGCCTCTTCATATTTTCTTTCTTGCTTTTTAAAAGCTGAAGCAGGCGTGCCTCTGCACCACTTGTTGTTTTGTTTTTCGTTTTTTCTTTGATAGGGCTCTGGGCGAAAATAGAAAATAACTTGTTACACACTGTTTACACAAGTGTTGACAGGACCTTTTGTAGGAGGTTTAGATAATAATTTACCTCCGCTTCATTCTCGTAGTCCGAAGACGCCGGCGAATAAACCCTCTTCGGAATACGCGTTCTCTCTCTGGCCTCTGTCTCCGCGAAGTCCTCCGATTCTGGAAAACGTGAGGGCGGATTGCAACATTAACATTTACTGAGTTAGTGTCACATCATCCTCTGACGCGTGCACATTTCACGATCTCTAGCATG